GCATTAAAAGTAAAGTTTAAAAGATATTGGTTGTCTTACCATATATACAATATTATCAGTGAAAAAGTTGTTTCTGATGTTATTGTGTCAATATTTCACTTACAACTATATTACTGCTCACAACTGCAGTGGCGGATTAGAATTTAGCGTGAATATCTAACTATGATCATTTGATGCACAAAGCAAACAGCATATTTGTATTACCGTTTCATATATATATATATATATATATATATATATATATATATATTGCACAACATGCTTTTAAAATTTGAGAAAACAATAAATTGTAAATACACATTTGAATAAAAATAGACATAAATGTTAAACAGATGTTGATTTTTTTTTCCCCCACCATATTTTGCCAGTGCAACTGACTTGCATTGCTGTTGTTGCCAAGCAACAAATGCCATGTGATCCATGATGGTTTATTGCCTGGCAACAAAATTCTTCAGCTGAACGTGAATAAATGAAGTCAGCCAAGCTTAAAAGCTGCTGCACACAGACTTAAGTACTGTACAGTAACTTCTTGTGTGACTTTTGTTGAATTGGCTGAAAATGTTTGTCTGCATTGATGCTGAGCTGCAGCCCAGTGAAGAATGGTCGAACGCTGATCCCACTCCCCATTGTCACCATTCATATGGTAATCTCTCCCCCCCCACCCCAGAACACCAGCTAATTACTCATCTGCTGTGCCCTGATTCACTCTGCTGACCATCAGACACATTTAAGACCTCAAGTAAAAAAAGAAACCTTGGTAGCCATTTACATGATAAACACATGTAAAAGGATCAAGTTTTTTACGTGTACAAAAGGATTGTTTTATTTTTCACAGCAAACCTCTGAACACTCTTGGATTTAGGAAATGAGGATGCAAACATGGTCCAATAAAATTAAGAATCTTCTAATGACATTTTTTTCAATCATTGCTAGTTTGTAGACCATAGATACCTGCATTGTTCACTGAAATAAGTCCCTGAAATGTATTTTGGTTAAAGTAGCCAAGTTTTTGTTTTTAAACTTCATGTTTTTCTTTATTTTAATACCTTTGTTAATATTTCACACAGCAAAGGAATTTCTGACAAACTTATATGATTCTTACAACATACAAAATCAGCTTACTGTAGTCCCTCGCTACTTCGCGGTTCGTTTATTGCGACTTGCTCTATCGTGGCTTTTAAAAATAAGATTGGACATGACACACAAATGGCTGATTGATGGATGATCCACATGATTGGCATGGGATTTTTATTTAAAATAAATTATTTAAAATTATTTAGCACCTGCTGCACCTTTATGGGGCAACATGGTGGAGCAACTGATAAAAGCTGCTGCCTCTCAGCAAGAAAATCACTAGTTCAAATTCCAGTCCAGGGGTCTTTCTGGGTGGAGTTTGCATGTTTTCTCTGTGCATGCGTGGGTTTTCTCCAGGTACTCCGGTTTCCTCCCACATACCAAAAACATGCATGTTAGGCTCATTGATAACTCTAAATTGTCCCTAGGTGAGTGAGAGAGTGAATGGTTGTTTGTCTCGTTTGTCTCTATGTGGCCTTGTGATGGACTTGTGACCTGTCCAGGGTGTACCCCGCCTCTCGCACAGTGATTGCTGGACATGGGCACCAGTGACCCCCGCAACCTAAAAAGGAAGAAGCAGGTAAAAGATAATGGATGGGTGGATGGATGCACTTTTGTGCAGCACAGGGCTGCAGAAAAAGCTTCCTCCTGCACTTTTGTGCAGCCCATGCAGCAGGATAAATTTCCTTCTGCAGCTGATCAGCTGTTCTCCATGCAGGGCATAGAAGTGGGTGTGGCCAAGAGCGCTTGCAGGTGGATGAGAGCAGCGGAGGCAGAGAGAGGGAAATCATTACATTCTGTGCTCTTTTAGAGCGTTTAGAGTTTAAAAACATTGTTTAGATAAGTGTAAGAGTGTGGGAAGGATTTAAAACACCTTTATATATATATATATATATATATATATATATATATATATATATATATACTGTATATCTATATATGTATCACATACAGCTTGTGATACTAATTACACGGAAAGATTCACTTGAATTTTAAGATGTGACAAAATAAGAATAAAATTCTTTAACATTAATAAACAAAATTTTAGCTCTTTAATATAGAGTGTGAGGCCCCACCTTTGGATGTATGTGTGAGCCTGCCCTCCACTGTGACTAATGTATCAAATGTGGCACCAGGGTCATCTATAAATAACACCATGATGTTCACTTTCGGAGCAGGGGGTATGAGTCGTGTCTGGACAGATGGATGAATGGGTGAACAGTGCTGCAGTTGTTCTTGTTTTCTTGTTTGCATCCAGCAGAGTTTGGTCAGTTAGGTTACATTGAAGACCTGACCTACAAGCACACTGTCACACTCACTGAGTGCCTTAGGCTACCCTAACATTTTCTGAGAGTGCACAGCTTGTTCCCTTGGCTTTAACAGCATGGTGGATAATCTCTGCTACTGCAGAGTGGGTTAGTGTCTCATTTCATACAAGCTCGTAAAACAATCACAACACAGCTGTACTGCTGAGTGAGTGTTGTTTTGGCAATGTAAAATCAGTGTAGCTGGATTGACTCAGATCAGTTTTATTCAGCACAAGGCCAACAGACAACTAACCCATTTATTTTCATTACTCACTTTCTAGGAAGCTGGTGCATATCTCCAGTCGTCAACGGGCATGAAACCAGTTACACCCTGGACATGTCCATCACAAGGCCACTTAGGTCTGAACAACCATAAAGATTGTTCAGACCTTTTGATTAAAACATCCTGAAGCATGCTCAATAATCCAGTTAAATAAATAATGGAAAATAAATTGAAGATTTGAGGTCTGGTCTTCTGGACAGGCTCTTTGTTAGATTTTGTTTAAAATGTTTTTTATGCATCTGATTGTGGTGAAATAGTGCTAAATACATGGTTTGAACTATCTCAATGTGCATTTAGAGAGTTTTATATACTTATGTTTAGTAGTCTGAACACAAACCGTCCTGAGCTAAGCTGTAGGAGCTCCAACCTGACCGATGCGACCCCACACAGGCAGCAGAGAGGACACCTCAGGGTTAAATAAAAACAGCTGTTTGTTTGACTTTGGTTTATTCAGCTAAACATTTTCAAGAACAGTTTGTTCTAATTATTTTGGACCTGCTGTGGTCACTGTGTGCCATAATGTGCCGTGACAGTCAGAGGATAGCATTCTGAGTAGCAATATGTCACATTATATCCACCACATTTACAAAAAGCTGATGTTTATTTCACTGTGAAGGTGTGTAACGAAAAGGGTGACAGATGCTCTCTCACACTGAGTTTTGTGAAGTTACAAACCTTTATTTTTATATGCGGCTGTATTTCTTTTATATCGAGTCTGTTATGGGCTCATCAAAAAAATGTGACTGAAATGGCTCTGAATCATGTTGATGACGACGATATGGGGAAGGCAATAGTTCTGCTGGCTGCTACCTTGGTTTGAAACATCTGATTTTTTGCTCAACGTAACATAGGGAAAGAAAAAAAAAACTAGATTTAAAGCACAACATTTTTTTTATGTTGCTATTGATTTAAATACTGGGTGGCATGCTGGTGCAGTTGGTAGAGCTGCCACCTCTCAGTTTGAGAAGGTTGCTGGATCAAATCCCGGCCCAGGACCTTTCTGGGTGGAATTGGCATGTTCTCTTCATGCACGTGTGGGTTTTCTCCGGGTACTCCGGTTTCCTCCCACAGACCAAAAACATGCATGTTAGGCTGACTGGTAACTCTAAATTGTCCCTAGGCGTGAGAGAGTGAATGGTTGTTTGTCTCGTTTGTCTCTGTGTCCCTGTGATGGACTGGAGACCTGTCCAGGGTGTACCCTGCCTCTCGTACACTGATAACGGGACATGAGCAGCAGTGATCCCCATTACCCGAAAAGGACAAAGAGGTTAAAGATAATAAATGCATGCTGGATTTAAATACAATTTATAACCAATGAGAAAAGCCTCGTGACATGATTGAAACAAATGTTTTTATTCTCAATAAATAAATGTATACAGAATTAATTACCTTCACTTCACTCACCAAAAGCTATTTTTAAATATTGCATCTGGTACACGTTTATATAATATTCCTACGATTGTTTTCGTCAGGTAGTTTGTATAAATTTAGCTACACATAGCAGCAGAACCTGAAAAAAAGCATGTGTAGATATGGCCCACCTTAATGTGATACTGGGACGAAAAGCTTTTGATTGTTTGACCGGTATTGTTTTCTTGCCACAACTGCGCCTTTGTCCAAAAGTAATGATTTCCTCCTCTTTGTCCACAAGTCCACCACAGGAGGTCTGTGGCATGTACACAGAGGAACAGAGAGGAAAAGCTGGAGTGTTTCATTATAGTCTGTATTCACTGGATTATGGAACTTTATTGTGAGTCATTGTAGTCAAATGCACTTGAAACACTATCTCCTGAAGCCAGCTGTGCTGAGGGGCTTTGATTTCCATGTGCTTGGATGGCCCAGCCTACCCCCCCTAGATTTCCTCTGCACATGGTACAGTCCATTTAAAAAGGTGCTTGTCATCTCTCAAAGCTCTGTGTCCTTTCAGCAGTCAGCTGCAGGGTGCACATTTCATGGGGGTAGTGCTGGCTCTCTGACACACACATACACACACATAGACAGATACGCTCATGCTGTTACGGAACTCTCACAGAAACACACACACACATGCTTTCACACTGATCCACTCATACACACACACAACACACACACAATCTTTGAACCATTCACTCCCTCCAACAAAAACACATTTCCCCCCAGCCAGATATGTCTCCTTAAGGGAAAAAGGACAACCAGCTATGAGGATTTAACTTTCCCATTTTTCCCCCTTTAAAGAAAGGATTGAGAAGAAGTCAGGGAATTGAAAGAGGAGGATTTTATTTGGGGACATCTTCCTTGTAAGGACATGGTCAACTTGTCAGCATGACACCGTGTTTGGATTTCCCTCTCTCCTTCAGGCAAAAATCTTGAAAATGATGGATGACAACAAGCAGCTGGCCCAGCGCATCGATGGGGCCATTCAGTCAGCCAGCCAGGAGGTGACCAACCTGCGGTCAGAGCTGAGCGCCACCAGTCGCAGACTGGCCGAGCTGGGAGCGTCAGACTCCTCTGCCAGCATGCTTGAGACCTTGCAGCACAACCATAATGGTAAGAAAACCCCTTGGAATGTGCAGTGAGCCAAAATGCATGTTTGGATGCAGCAAACATGTGGAGGGTGATTTGAATCCAGCTGTTGGTATTCATGCAATGTGGATTATATTTCTGCATGAAATGTCATTAACAAGCTGAAAAGTCTCATATTATGTGGAAAAGTGCTTATTTAACAGACACTTGATGACAAAACTTAAAAAAAAGTATGTTTCTGTTGACTTAGTCTTTAATTATTCTTTCATGTTGAATAATTAACCCCTTGAACCTTTAAGAGGGGTGTTGGTGCTGCACTTCTTTAAGGCAGAGTGGGTAAAGTTACAGCGTCTTTTCACTCTCGGGCACTGTGTGTGCTGCTCCACTTGGTCCTCCTTTTACTGGACAGAGGATCTGTGTCTTTTGAAGGGAAAAGGAAGGAGGGCTGGTGTCAGGGTTGCCCTGGGTGACTGTTACTGAGCTGTTTGAATAGTTGCAAAGTCTGTCCTGCGTGTTTGTATTCACTGCGGCCGCTTTGTCCTTTTTCAACTTTTTCACTTGGTTTGACGTACAGATATTTGTCAGGTAACAGATGTGGGCTCAGTTTATTTGTGCATGCATAACTGTGGTTTGCAGCACAGATTTGTGTAGATACATTTGCCTATGGGCTTCCATGTCCTTTCAACTTCTGGCACACACACAGACACACACACTCTTGCTGTTTCCATAGCAGTCAGCTGGTACAGTGAACTGGGTGAGACAGATATGTTCCATCAGCCCTGGCAGCACACTCCTGTGAAACATCTTCCTCAGATACTTCTGAGCTCAAGTTCACATATAGACCTCTAGTGTTTCGTCTCCTAAATACAGAAATTGGTCTTTCCCCTTTGGCTTTTACTGATAGTGAGTTTTTTAGTCGTTAAATGACCTCTGTTGTGCTATTAAAAGCGGAAAATGTGAACATGAACTGTTTTACACAGCTGACTGGGGACAGTTCTGACTTGTGTCAGCAATGTTTTCAGTGGACTGAGCGGGTTTTGTTTTGCAGTTATTTCTCTCTTCTTGTGTGCATGCAACATACAATATCCCCTTAGCACTGATGCATGCTTACATTCCTGCTGTTCAGTGTGCATGTACCAGTGTGCGAGGTGATGAGCATTCCTCCGGGAGGGTTTGATCACTGATGTCATCGTCCCTAGTTGCTGCTTGTCAGCTCAGCTATGATGCCAACACGAACATGGTGGAATCACAATAATCTTGGAGAAAATCATATTTACATCGCAGAGACAGCAAAAATGAAAGCTCCATGACTGGTTCGCTCTTGTTTTAGTCCCAGTGTTTTTGAATAGGTTTTCCAGAACTGACTCCTATCTATGGATTCTCTCAATCTGTATTTTGTCTGACACAGTCATATGGAAAACGTGCTAAGTGTTTCTTATTGTCTCATTCTTTTTAAAAAACCTCATGCACACATCCTCTTCAATCTAAAGATTGTACCGTAGTTCCTGTTTCTTGCCCCGTATACCTTCCTTGTGTCTCAATCAATAGGTCTTTTTTTTCACACCCACTTCTTGCAATCTGTTCTCAGCCCCCTTTTTTGTTCTAAC